GTGCCGCGGCGGCGCCCTGCACGGGGGTTTGTGGCGGCACTGGCCGCGGCGGAAGGCCGAGCTCACCCCCGGTTGGTTGAGCAGGTGCATGAACGCGGGCATGAGGAAGCCGCACGTTTTGCCGCTGCCCGTCGAGGCGACCGCCACCAGGTCGCGGCCCTGGGCGGGGAGGGGGCAGCGCGGTGGGTCAACATCGGTCAAAGCACGGTCAAGATCGCTCCGTACTGTGATCCACGCCAGGTTAAAGGTCCGCAGATGCCGTGGGCTGGATCGGCCAGTCGAGAGGTGGACAGCGAAACTGCTTCTTCCGCTGACTGTGCACAGCACCGGGGCGGGCGCACTGGGCGCTCGCGCCCGCGCCCATGTCGCTCTGATGCGATGCGATTCGACCAGGGCACGCGTGCGCACCTCCAGGGCAATGGGCCACGCCTGCGCCTGGATAAGGGTGGGGCCGGAAAAGCCTGCGCGCGCAAACTGCGGGGGCCGCGGGGGCGGTGGGCGGGAAGGGGCGCGGTGAGCGGCGGGCCGCGGACGCGTGCGTGGGGACGAGGCGCGGCGGCCAGCGACGTGTGTCAGTGTGCTGTCACTCCCTGCCACTGCGACGGCGCAGACCCGTTGCCATCTGCCTCCCAGAAAGAGGCCCTCCAAACCCCCCGGGCTTATGCGGCGCCCCGTCCGTCTTCCTTTGACAATTGCTAGATCGCACACCATCCCGTTCCAACTCTCCTCCTATTCAAGCCACCCTGCCTCCCCGGCCTCCCCCTCCAACCCCCCTGCCGCCCGCCGCCCGCCCCGCGCCCCACCATGCGCAGGAAGTCCCGGGGGAACCCTGTCTCCTCAAACGTCGTGAACGGTGCCGGCGGGTTGTCGCCCATCACAATCATGGAGTTGGCGCGCCGCCACTCCTCTGGCGACAGCCGGGCCGCCTCGCCGCCCTCGGACTCGGACTCCGAGGCAGACACCTCCAGGGCGGACGACTCGCTGGCCTGAGCGGGCGGCACCGCATGGTTCCAAGGTTAGGGGCGGCGGCGAGAAGGGGTGCAGCAGCTGCTGGTCCAGCGGCGGCACGGCTGGGGCGCGGGCGCTGGGGTGCCTGGGCTGGCTGTGGGCGCCGAGAGCGTGGCGGCGTCGCGGCGATCGCTGCCGCGCCGTGACGCGACTGCTCCCCGATCGTCACTTAGAGGGGGAGTGGCTGCAAGGGCAGTGCCGGAGGAGGGGGCTGCAGCGCATACGCGCACGTGCATGCACGCGCATGCGCGCTAAATCGGTCGCATGCGTGCGCACGAGCGTGTGGCATGTGCCTACCGCGCTGGAGAAGCTTGCTCCATAGACGCATGCCCCTCGGGGAGCCAGCAGCCCTGTCAGAATGCCATGGCGCATGTGCGCGGCGCCGCCGGCCAGCAGGCGTGGCCCGCTGGGTCGCGCTGCAGCGCGCTCGGCGCCACCGCAGCTGCCGCTGGTGCTGCCAGCGGCAGCCGACGCCGTGTGAAACAGCTTGGACTCAAAGCTGCCAGCTTGACCTGCAGAGGAGGCCAACAAAGCATAAGCACAGCGCGGCAGCAGGAGCGGCGGCGCCCGGGCCCTGCGGGCTGTGTTCAGTGACCGCAGCGCCGCGCCGGCGGCCGCCCAACTTACCCAGCCGCTGCAGCAGCTGCGCCAGTACCACGCCATGTTGAACGCCCGAGGGCGCCCAACGTGCTGCGAGCACCCCGCACAGCATGGCTGGCGTCCTCGCCCCGCAGACGGCTTGCAGCGGTCTGGTGGGCTCGAGGCTACGACAGACAGCGCAGCAACACAGAAGAAACGACAACGGTTAGGGTCGAATGTGCGCCTACGCTGCGCGCGAACCCTTTCCGTTGCTGCCAGTGCGGTGCGGCAGGTGTGCGGATCTGCGCGGTCGGCCTCCAGGACGGGCGCGAGCTACGCTTTTGTGGTGGAAAATCACCACAAGAACCACACACGCGCTGCCACTGCTGCTTGCTGACGGAGTGTTGTCGCGCCGTGCCCGCCCACAACCGACCCCTGTTGCAAATCCTCCAGCACTGCGCAGCCTCGCCCCAACCAAGCAGGGCCGCAAGGTCTACCATCTTTCACGCATCCTGCTGCACGTCTCCACGCTCCCTGCCGGGCCGTGGCGTTTCCAAGCCCCCTGCATGGCATGCCTGGGCAGCAGGTGCGGATTGGCAAAACCGCCGGCCTTTTGGCAAGCGGGGCCTGCAGCCCTGCAGGACCGCGTTCAATTACAAGTCGCCACATGTTTTTGTGACATATCCGGCACGATCTTCACAGGCGGTTGAGGATGGCGGGGCCGGGGCTGAATTATTGGCACCAGCTCAGATGCGCCCGAGGTGAGGCTGGCGCTGCACGTGCTCGCGCTTGGTACACATTGCGCGATGCGCCGCGGCGCCGTGCGGCGCATTGCAGCGCCGTACGAAGCCATCCATTTGGCGATACGCTAATCGCAAGCCTCTGCAAATCTTCTTTTCGCGGACGTGATCCACGGCAGCTGCAGGCGCGCAGTTAAGGGACTCGAAAGGCCGGCCTAGCCCGAGCAGAGGTTGGCAACCTGGAAGCCGGCGGGCACCTGCCCCCGCGCCGTGGCCAGCCACCCCGGTATCCCACTCATCGCCAGCAGCAGCAGCACACCGCCGCCGTAGGAGAGCGCGTTGAGCGCGACAAGCAGCGACGGCTTGCCGGTGCGGCGGATTATGAAGTTCATGGCCACGATGCCGACGGGGGTCACACAGAGGTTGATGAATCCAAAGCTGTAACATTGTTAATATTGTTGAAGGGCGAACGGGGGGGGGGGGCACGGACGAGAGGGTGGGTGTCAGCCGGGGCGCGGTTGAAGAGCAGGGGCGCAGCTGGCGACGAGGGTGTGGCGAGCGCGTAGAAAAGCACGCAGGCCGCGATATGCGCCGTGGCGCGCTCGGCAGGGCGGGCGCGCGCAGGGGCAGGGGCAGGGGC